AGAATTTAATCCTTGAAAAAGATAAATTTACTCGATTTGTTTCGTTTTGCAGCTAACACCAATTTACCCAATTTGAGTAGGCGACCCCAAAACCTCCACTTTTCTCCGGTAAGATCTGATTTTCTGTTTTTGTTGCGTTTCTGTTGAAAGGGGAACAATGTATCTGTTTCTTGGGTCTTGTGCAAAATAATCAGTTGTTGAATCTATGAGATTTCTTGGTTTAGGATTTGTTAATCAACTTACACTATCAAATTCTGAATTCTTTTAGTGGATTTGACCAATATGATTGTTGCAACTAGTAGAGTGGCATGTATTTAGTTCATATTCGTCTTCTATCCTTTATCACATGACTAGGAATGGACAACATGGTACATAGAGAATCATCAAAGCTTAGTTCTTCTGAGGAGAAACTTGCAGAAGCAACAGCTTTGCGGAATTGTAGTTATACCATTGCTCCTATGGAGCCGCGGAAGTCCAGGCGTCTTAAAGTTGCAGCGGTGAGTGAGACATCGGTTTCCTTGCGGCTCAGACTGAGAACAAATCAGAAGGAGGTCCATGTTGAGAGTTGCGAGAACATGAATGTTTCTGATGGTTTTGTTCCATCTTCTGAAGCTGAGGTTGTGGGAGAGCGAGACCACTTGAAATCTGTTGATGAGAAGCTTTGTAATGACATGGATGTCGGAGGAACCGAAGGAGATGAATCTCATCGAGATAACATGCAAAAACTGAAGAAAGATATGAATCTGCCAAAGAACACAAGTGACCAAAATATGGCTGATGTGGTGGAGGTTCAGCCTCTGAGCTATTGCTTGCCAGAAGAAGTTGGAAATTCTGTTTGCAGGCGACGCATGGTTGGGACAAGGCAGCTTCGCGGAAGAAAGATTCCTATAGTAAGAGACTTTCCTCCAAATATCCGGAGCAATTTTTCAAGGACTGAAAAGACCGTGAAGGTTGCTATATCGAAGAAAAATAAAAACTTGGTTCTTGAAAAATCAGATTCTAGAGACCATTTGGATCAATCTCTTACTAAAAACATATCACTAGAGGGTTTGGAACCATTGGAACTTGAGAAGTCAAAGGTTACATTTCAAAAACCAATTGAGGTTGCAAGTAGAAGAATTACGAGGAAAGGGCTTGCAGTGCCTTCACCCTTGAAGCTTTCCAAGAATATGAATGGAGAGTATGGTGAAGGATCTAGGATGAAGAATAGTGGGAAGGATATCCAAGATAAAGAGAGCTTCGCTCCTTTGTGTCCTAGTGGTTCAAGCTCCGGGTATAGTGCTCGGTACAAAGTTAAGGAAACTCTATGTCTTTTCTATGCTGCTCGTAGAAAAATTTTGGGGGAGGTAGAAGCAAGGCCTAGGGAAAAAAAAGGTAGCAAATTCAGAGTGGATTATGAGGCTTTGCAGCTTCTCAAGAGTAAAGGTCAATGTCTTAACAATGGTGATCCGGTTATAGGACATGTGCCTGGTGTTGTGGTTGGCGATGAATTTCAATATAGAATGGAGCTGAACATTCTTGGTATTCATAGACCAAATCAAGGCGGTATTGATTATATAAAAGAGAACGAAGAACTAGTTGCTACAAGTATTGTATCGTCTGGATGTTATGATGACGAGGTTGATAACTTGGATTTCGTGATCTACACGGGTCAAGGCGGAAATGCGATGAAAGGACAGAAAAAGGGACAGCAAAACCTTAAACCCAAAGACCAACAGCTTGTAACGGGAAATCTCGCCTTGGTAAACAGTAAAGCCAAGAAGAACCCCGTGCGAGTCATACGAGGCAACAAAAAGACGCCTTCATCAGGTGATGAAAAAAATTATGTTTACGATGGATTGTATCTGGTGGAAGAGTACTGGAAAGAAACCGGGTCTCATGGTAAGCACGTCTACAAGTTCAGACTGCGGCGTATGCCTGGACAACCCGAGCTTTTCTCGAAAGTGGTGAAGAAATCAAAGCAATCTAAGTTACGAGCTGGTCGTTGCAATGTTGATCTCTCAGGAGAGAAAGAGAGGTTTCCCATATACGCTGTGAATGATTTAGACGACGAGAAACTACCGCCGTTTATCTACACGGTTGAAATGATATATCCGGATTGGTGCCGCCCAATTCCTCCAAGGGGCTGCGGTTGCACAAAACGCTGCTCTGAATCAAAAAACTGTGCATGCGTTGCAAAAAACGGTGGAGAGTTACCATACAATCACAACGGAGCCATTGTTAATGCAAAGCCTGTGGTGTATGAGTGTGGCCCACTCTGCAAATGCCCGCCTTCTTGCTACCTCCGAGCCACACAACAAGGGCTTAAGTTCCAGTTAGAGATCTTCAAAACCGAGTCAAGAGGCTGGGGAGTGAGATCGATAAACTCGATTCCTTCCGGAAGCTTCATTTGTGAGTATGCAGGAGAGCTTCTAGAGGACAAAGAAGCTGAAAGACTGACTGGGGAAGACGAGTATCTATTTGACATTGACAAGGAGGATGAGATGAGCGGGTTCGTCATAGACGCTGCAAAGAAAGGGAACATAGGGAGGTTTATAAACCATAGCTGCTCGCCAAATCTGTACGCACAAGAAGTATTGTACGACCATGAGGAAAAGAGAATCCCTCACATTATGTTCTTTGCAGGTGACAATATACCTCCACTTGAAGAACTCTCGTACGATTACAATTATAAGATCGATCAGGTACGCGACTCTAATGGTAATATCAAGACGAAAAATTGTTATTGCGGTTCATCTGAGTGTACTGGTAGGCTGTACTGATAAGCTG